TTGCCGGTGAGAGTTTTAACGAAGATCTGCATCTGGAACGAAGAGATCAAAAAAGGAGTCAGCATCATATCAAGAGAAACCACCATCATCAATTCAGATCTAAGACGACAAAAGACAACCAGAAGATCAACGATAATTTAGCAGTTAACTTTCGTGAATAGGATTCACATTTGCTCTAAACAATTCAAACAGAGGAAGACGATCATATGAGACCTGTTAACAGAACAATAATAGTAGCCCCACACAAAACAACCAAGTGCTAGAAGATGGACCAACACATACATACCTTGAGCGGATGAGGAGGACAGGGAACCGGCAATGCTTCCGACGATGGGAGGAAACGGAGCAGCGTCATTTATAGCCATCTCCTCGCGTGAGATTGCCCAAATACATCCGATTCTTGTGATGATCGATCACCACACACGTGGTCGGACGACATCAAAGACTTCCCGGTGCGTCCCCCCTGTGAGCCGGCAGATGCATGAATCCACCCCACCCGCCTTCTTCGTTCCCGTTCACGGATAATCTTAATTATGATTCGGACGGTCACGCATTCGATGATAGATTAGTAGTAATTTTATATTATATCTTAATCGTCACAAGTTTAGGATAAAGATCGCATTAGAAAAATGCGGTTGTCGAGCATTCCATGGTAAAGAAGAAAAAGAATATGATTCAGAGGATTGATTCGAGATAAACGATGCGAAAGAAAAGAATGTTCTAAGAGGAGGAATAAGATCGATGCAGTCGATTCTTCGATAACGCAGATAAGTTCCGGGCAGTGGGTCCGAATCAATTCATCGATATGTCTGATCTTTAAGATTTAGTCAAACATGAGCGCTGGGATGGCAATCCGCGTCACCTTCCATTGTAACCTCAGCTGTTGGCCGAACAGAGTCCATGGCATTTCCTGTGAAAGAAAGTGACAGATGAGTGTGTAGAAGGTACAGAGCACACCACGTCGACACTTCACCTGCAATAGATCTTATCTGGATCATGGTTTGTCACATTCCACCACAAACCCACATCAGCCTGCATGTTCCTCTGCTTCCATTGGCCACTTCAAATGGTTTCACGGATGCCAAAATCCAGAGAGTAGGAATTCTGTGTGCACAATCCCAAAGACCAAAAAAACACATACACTAATCACGAAAGAGAACGATCCATCCTGAAATTATCATCTCAACTGCATACAGATCACTACATGTACAGAAACCACCGATTCATGTCCAGGTGCTGAATGAGAGTTGATTGCACTGCTGTCTGTATAAGGTTCGTCATTTGGCACCGACCAACTCTTTAAGCTTTCCCTGGTTTGCAAGTGCAACATAGCGAAACCAGCATCAGATATAGGTAGCCACACATTACTTAAGAACACTACATGCTGTAGTTAGAGCAAGGAACAGGGTGGGTGGGTCTATTTGCAGTGAACTCTAACTAGTCGACCATATTTGGGCGACGAAAAGATTGAACGAAACCATCGATCCTCTTCCTTATCTCCTCCGGATTGGCCCCGACAATCTTGTCTAGCACTGCGCCATCCCTCATCAGTACAAAGGTGGGCATCGCCTTCACCTCCATCTTAGAGGCAACCCCCTGTAAATTTTCAATTGAAGATGCGTATGATAATATTTCAGATTAAAGTAGCACAAACAAAGATGTTCATGACAAGCATATATATATCAGTTTCAAGTAGCACAAGGTTTTGGAGAAGTGCTGCTGCACTCGGAAGAAACAGCCCACAGGAAAATGGTAGGTGAAGATTAGGTAGACCACTCGTACTACCATCAACAGCCCACATGATCTTCCTCAGGATCATGGCTACCGAGGTCATAAACCGTACCTTGACTTCATCAACATCGACCACGAGAAACAGGATGTCCTGGTAAGTCAAGGCCAGCTCCTCGAAGAATGAGTTCATGGCGAGGGATGGAACACACCACGAGGCACCAAAGTGGACAAAAACCTGCACACAAATGAAAAGATAGATATAATCAAAATTCCATGCATTATTATTAGCTTCATCATTCTGTGACCAGCAATCCTCAGCTGGTAAACTGTCTTCTTCCTTCGTTCTCAGCTTAGAGATCTGTGCCCAATATTTGCAAGTCAATCCTTTTGAGTCCATTGAAAACATCCGAAAGCAGATGGGGGAAAGGAACCCAGGGAGAGATTAGAGGTTTCAGGCTTTCTGAAGCCACGGAAGAGAAAACCTAGATGTTTAATTTCTCGGTAGAGCTTCAGAGAGAGAGAGAGAGTGATTCAGTAGCAATGAAGAATGTTAACCATGAACTATGAGTAACAGATTGACTCAGAACCAGGTAAATCGACAGACCAGAAGAGCTTGCTTACAGGACATCCTTGGTTGTTGGCTTGGGTGATGAAGAGGTACCATGACTCCTCTGAATCCACCTTCACAACCCTGGACTTGGGATGCTGCTGCTGCTGCTCCTGCTCCTGCGGTTGGCCTTCCATGACCGTAAGCTTATTATTGGTCCACTTCTTCGCAAGGGGTTGGTGGATGTTTATAGAGAGATGGGATGTGGCTGCGGTATGAAAGTGGAAACCAGATGTCCTGTTGTGGATAGCACCAAACATCTAATCCCAGGAAGAGGGTCCACAGCAAACCAAGGGGCTGTTGTTCTCCGGTATCCATATATCTGGCACTCCGAAGGCTAATCCAAGAAACGATGGGATGTCCAGAATTTTCTGGATCCTGTCATGATGCTCACTATAGTTATTACTTTGTACCATTCTGGTCTGTAGATAAGGCTGGTGCACGGGCTCCTGCCTGCTTGTCGTCTCCACCGAAGAAAAGATGGCTTCAAAATGCCAACTGAGCATCTCAAGAACACCAACAGGCTCTTTAGAAGCCAATGATTTTTGCTGAGATAATGTAACAATAAAAGTGAACTTCCAGGAACAAAATCTTTCAAATGACATCCCAAAAATTATGAAATTTGACCTCATGCATGGTATTACTCTCGTGGACACGGTAAGCAAACAATGTTACGGACGTGGAGTCTCGAGATTAAGATTGAGTGTCATGTCAGACATGCCACCTCAGATTCGGGACGACGGTCGCCCCTTCCCATGTCGTCCAGAGCCGCACGAGAAAGCATCGTACCATCGAAGGCCATTTCGAAAAGCTCAGAATAGTATCGTGCGATGCTATCCCGCACAGATCGCTCAGCAATCACCCAAAGATACGACGAGTCAACTACCCGAGGAGTCAATCGCAACAGTCAAATCACATACGACCAACCCTCGGATGCAAGCATAAAAACCCCCTCTACCTAACGCGACAATGAGGGGCGATCATTCTAAAAAAAATAACTCAACTCGATACTGACTTAACATTCGGAGGGACCAAGTCGAAAAATCCCTTCCCTCCCGACCTAGGCCTATGTGTAAGAGCCTAGCGACGACAAAACAGACAACATGTCGACTGAAGAATTGCATGCAGAGTCAACCCCGAACTCGATCAAGCTCAACGAAAGCCTAGTCACAGGGATGATCCAGAACATCGACAATCGAACAAAGTCGTGCAAACACCTCGGCCACAACTAGACAAGTTCATTAACAATGCAGAACTTCAATCATTTCGATTTCATAGCAATATATCTCTCGGGTTTTTATGAACTGAAAGATCCCAAATCACCATAGTGGTAGTAGGCTCAAACCAAATCAGTCATCCAAGATAAGAGACCATATAATTGTGTAGCTATTTTTACAGATAACACCACTCAGTAATCCCAGTTAACAGACTCAACTCGGGCAATATAGATGTTGTTCCTTGGTATACAAATCACGCAGGAAGTCGATGTTAAAGAGTCCACTGGCCATTAAATATGCTACAATGGCAGCAGCAACAACAAATTAGTGCATAGAGGAATTATAAACATCACCAACAAATCCTCCTTATCCATAGCTCAATCGTGAGTCCGAACATCGTATCTGAATTTGGCGTCGAGGAATTCCAATCTCACATGAGTTGACCCGAGCAGCAAAGCGAAGCGAACAAAGAGACTCACCAACCGAAGATGCTCCTGGCGAGATATTGACGAACATTAATGTCTTGGAGTCGCCACCAAGACAAGGCTATCATGAAAAAGGCTAATGATCAGCTATCTTTATTATCCGCGTATCCACACAAACAAACAGAAGCAGTTTGTTTACATCACAAAGCAAAAATATATGTGGAAATGGGTAGCAAGAACCTACCTGCAAAAGGTATGTTAGCTTGGAATTCCTAAAAGGAACATGATCATCTTTCTTCCCTATTGCAAATATTACATCGCTTAGGGCCGACAAGCTTTTGTTGATTGCCTGCATTAATAATATAGCAAACGGTGAGTTGAGATACAAACCGCAGGACAGTTCAATGGCGTGAAGGCAATTTTTACCTGGGTTTCCTTTAGGCGATCCCCGGTAGAGCCACTTTTAGCAAGACGCTCACTTCCAGCAAGATCAATCAAGTTGAGTACCCCTTGAACCTGTTGTTCTGTGCCCTGAAAATAAATGAATGTAACTTAGTACCAGTGTTAAACATCACACAAACCAGCTTGAAAGCATGCCCTAGCAAGTCACATACCTCATTAACCCCAAAAATCCTTAAAGTGAAGACACAATGACTTCTTGAAGATTGTTCATTCATTTGTGTCCTACCCACAGACCTGGTCATAAAATTCAAAAATTCTTCTCAGGCTTTTACTTATTATTCGCTCAACCAAGTGTCGTACAGAACACATCAACAAAGACACCACAAAAAATAAAATAAAAAATTCTAATAAATATTTTAGCACAAAACACTAATGCATTTTGATATTAGGATTCAGTATATAAATGATATAAAAGCACAAAGTTCTAGAGAAACAGTGGGTGAATATGTGTAGCTCAGCCATTTTGAGTGTCCAACATTCACATAGATGAATGGAAACATGTAGTTGTTACATTTTAACTTCTTTTGAAATAAACCATTTGGTATATGCCTCCTCCTCCTTTTTGTTTTAATTTCTTTTTTTAAATGGACAAATTTTCTAGAAAAATTATTAGAACTTCTTGATAAGAAATCCACGAGGAACAGCAGCATTGAGTAATGTAGCAAGTACCTATAAGCTTATAGTAAACATAAGATGAGGAACATCTTTTACTTAGTTTCAGTTATATACTGCTCAGTCTGATCGTCAAAAAGTATTTTAATTAGGTAGTAACTCAATGATTCAAGGAAATAAATTCAGTTAAAAAAACACTCATCAAATAATTTCATCAGGTTTTAAGATATATTACATCTAAGAAAGAAAACTTACAGTATATGCATCTTTTATATGTGAGCTTTGCACATAACCAATTAAATAAAAATGATTTCATTTTACAAGTCTTCAAAAGAAGTCATTGGACAAGGACATCGACAAGATTTACCTGCTCTGTGCAGCTTGTTGTAGGAGGAATGAAACTTCTTTGATGCTACAAACATCTACAATAGTAAGATCAGATATGATCGTATTACCATTAGAATCGTGTTTGATCGTGTATTGTTTACAAAGACCATCACTAGGGCGACTAGGTGACAACAAATCACGAATTGTTTCATTATATATTTCCAGCATGGATGCCTGAAAAAGAAATGAATCAATCACAATAAAAAAAATAAAGTCATGCAAATTGATGAAGAAAAAGACTAAGCGATAGGTATAGCTGAACATAACAAGAGTATAAGCTTACCTGCATCTTGTATTTCCAACCTTGGCATTGCAGAGATTGACTAGTTTGGAATATTTGCTCTAACGACCGCGGTATAAGACCTTTTTGTTCAGCACATCCAGTATTGCCCATCATAGTGTAAGTTTTACCAGAACCAGTTTGCCCATATGCAAATATACAAACCTACAGTAGACAACAAGAAGCATTCTTAGTCATCAATCAAATTACAAATATATACCAATAATAATTGAAATAAATATCAATGAACAATACAGTTTAACATATTAAATAAAGCACCTTATAGCCATCAAGTGCACTCTGAACTAGCTGTGAGATTTCTACAAATACATCTTCTTGTGAAGCTTCATGATTGAATACTTTGTCAAAAGTGAAAGTATACATCTGAGCTGATCAAATGTCATAAATATTATGTGTTATTCATGATACAAAGAATATAGAACATCAATATGAATGTGGTATCCTATGTTAATAAAATACAAAGGCATATCACACCATTATGTGTCAAGTCAATGCCACGCCCAAGATATTCGATGGATGTCGGATAAGAAACAACTTCTCTATCTGTGTCATTTAAATCAGAATCAGGTAAAAGAGGTCGAACTCTGCAGAATACTCGAATATTCCCTTTAAGTTCCTGCCAAAAGAAAGTTCAGCACTAGAAGTTCATAATGTATTTGTTAAACACAGTAGCATATGTACCAATATGGTGTTATGCAGTTTTTTACGGAGTTTCTCAGCTTCAACTATTTGAAACTCTGCCTCTGTGAGACGATCTTGCAAATCATCGACAGTTCTTTTCAGCTCTTCATACTCTGTCATTGTCTCGATGGTTGTCAAGTCAGCTCTCTAGAAAAGGAGCAAAGATGTCACAGACTAGAAAATAAAAACCCTGATTTTATATTATAACTCATATTTCTACAACCAAATGTAACGTACCTATTTATCTCACATAAATGCAATGGAAAATAATACTACACTGTCACAACGTGATGATACTAATTGAAAAATCTTAATACTACTTACCTTCAGCTTCTCACTGGAAGCAGCAAGCTGATCCTCTAAGAGTTGTATTTTTCCTCTTTGGGATGAGCATGTCTTCTATAAGTAATAAAGAAAAGATAATATCACATTACTGTAAGAGTAACAAAATACATGAGGATGTAACTAACTTCATATGAAAACAAACCTCAAGAGCAATAATCTTTAGAGTTATATAATCCAAATCTTTTGTTGATTTTTTAGTAAGTTCTCTGTAATTTTCAACTTCAAAGGTCAAACTTTGCGCTTGTGTTGATAAATGGTCACGGTCATCTCGTACTTGCTGGAGTTCAATTCTGAGGCAACTAACTTCCTTTCTTAATTCTTCTTTCAGTTTCATGGCCTTTTGCTGAGAAGACTGAAACAGAAGCAAAATAAAAAGAATTACAAGATTTGACTAAATCGACAACTGACATAGGTAGAGTAATCACAAAATGTGTGACCATAAAGACTAAAAAATGTGAAAGTCCTAGAAATAATATTTGCGATAACCCAAAGGGCAACGATAAAGTTCAAATATGTCACAATGTCAAATCCTACAAGATATTCTCTTTGCAAATCCTCTGTTCCTTGCAAATTGCTCAAAAAGACATCAGACCCTTTAATTGATTTAGAATCAAGTAAAACATGTGCTTGTAATGGTTCAGAGGTTACAAATTGACAGAATGTTAAGTGATAAAGAACTCACGCATAAGGGCATAACAATGAGATAAGTTTATAGCTGTACGATTAGGAACTACCATACATAACATAAAATGATCACAAACCAATTAATGAGATTCAGAAACAAAAAGAATTTAGCAAACTAAGGAATATGAACGGAGTAAGTTGTAGACACTGGAAGCGACATTATAGTATACCACTCAGCAGTAAAACAAAGTGAAACCTCCAAGATCCTTAATCTTCAAATGAAACAAAAGTATTGAGATCGACCAAATAAATGTGAGGGAAAGTAGACAAAAAAAAAATTGAAGGTATGAATCAAGAATTCCCTTTGAATAAAAGATGCAAGTATAAAACCAACCCTAGATGCGTCCAATTGACTCTTGAGTGAATTCGCATGGTCTCTTGCAGTAGTCAGACTTTCCATTATAACACTTTTCTCCTTCTGGAACCTCGAGATTGTTTCACCATTTTTGTTAGCCTCATTTTGAAGATTACTGTTGTATTGCTGCAAACTGGTATTGTACTCTTGTAATCTCCTATTCGTTTCTTGCAGCATTTTTAACTGAAAAATTATATGAAAAAAGAGTTTATATGGATCATCATCAAAAGAATCCTCTTAATTTCACTCTAGGGAGCAATGTACCTGGTCACTCAAACGTTTTTTCTCTTGGGTGACTCTTTCAAGGTCTGTGGACAGAGCATCTCGAGAATTCTCAGCTGCAACCCTCGCTTCTCTTTCATTCTCATAAGATTTAACAGCAGCCTGCGAAATTTTGTAAGTTGCAATTAAGGACTACCAAACTCGATTTGCTAATTTACTTGAGCATCTTCAGCACTCCCACCAATTTCTCTAATTCTTCGTTTGTGAACTTGTGTTGCAAGGAAGAATTCTGTTCTCGAAGCTCCCTCGATGTCGCATCCAGTTCATCCATCTTTGCCCTCAGTTGGAACTCTAGGGAAAGATGAGATAGGACCGAGCTATCAGGTCTCGAGCATGAAAAATGCACATGGTAAATCATAAATCTGAACCAAAAAAGTGATTTTGAATTCCTTCTGCCAAGTCAAACAGAAGCATTGGTAAATACCAAGCTCTCCGTGCCTTTTCTCTTCAGAGCCCAACATATTTCGAAGCTTCGCTTGCTCCTCCATGTAGCCATCTTCCAGCTCCATGTACCATCTGACACAAATTCGAAGTCTTTTAATGTATTCTATCATCAGCTCACTCTTCCCCTACATAATCGATCGACAAAATAATACAAAAAATTATGAAAAATCAGTAAAAGAATAATTAGGATTGTATAGAATAAGAAAACATTTTACTTTCCACCTTATAGTCTGTCCTCTTTCCCTTCATCTTCTCGGCCAAAAGTCTCTCCACGTCCTCCCGGCACCCGAACTCGGTCCCTGCCATGCTCCCGCCATCCGAGCTGACGGCTGCAAAGACAGTCGTCTGGTCGCTAGAGACACCAGAGTTGGAGTCGGCATTGACGGGGAACACCACCGGCCTAAGCGCTCGTGGGTTGGTCGCGGAGCCTACCATCTTTCCCATCACCGCTATCCTGCACCGTTTGTCGAGGGACACCTCATCCGAATTCTCCTTGTGATCGTGGACTAATTCCAAAACACTAGAAAACGGCCAACCCTCGAGCACAGCGTGGGCAGCTCACATTGGAAGAGCTCCGAGGGGCGTTGAGGGGCTTGCTCTGGATGATCCAAGAGGACATAAACTAATGGGAGGCAAACGCCGAAGAACGTTGGATCAAAGGGTAAAAGTGAGCTAGATCAAGGACGCTTTTATGGTGGGGAGGTGGAGCTATCAGGTGAGGTGGGAGAGGGTGGGTTGGAGTGGAGCGCAAGGAAAGGTGAAGGAGAGATGTGAGCCGTCACTTCAACGGCCGGAAACGGAGAAGGAGAGGCATTCAATACGAATGAATGCATTAAGTTCACGATATGCGGAAGGTTTCCTCCTCACATCAATACAAATATATCTGACGCCCAGCATTAACATGAAAACTACTTCCTACTGCTGCTACCCATTTGAAGTGCCATGGAGCAGTTGGTCCTTCGCTGTTGAGACAAGTAGGAAGCTTCTTCTCTCTCTAACCTGGGAGGTGTCATGTCTTTGTTCCCAACTGCTCATAGCTGCAGCTGTTGACAGAGCCATCTCAACATCTTCATCTCTCAACAGGAAACTCCCAACCAAAATGTTCTGTCAACAGTAAACTCTGTTGATAGTAATTGCTATGATTATGCAAGTAGTATGATGATGATTCTATTTCAGTTGCTAATCAAATGAAGGAAACTAGCTAATTATGCATCAGAATGAAGAACCTACTGTGCATGATGTTTAATTTCTACCAGCAAAGCATCTGAGGTCAAACCATATTGATGTTCCTACCATGCTAAAGAGATGCAAATAAAAATATATGGTCATGAAATACTCAAATCCTCATTGACTTCCTTGAAAGCATATACAAAACAGCAGTTTACAAAGGACACAAACTTCAATTTTATATGTTCTTATTAGCAGTAGGAGGATAAGAACTAAATCAAAAAGAAAGAATGTCTAAAATACATGCAGTACTTACACATAAATTCAGTATAAATATATATATCATGCTCACCGTTAATACCAACATAGAAACACATCACCTACTAGTCTGCCTTTGTACATTCTGTCAAACTCCTCTGCATCCCTCTCGCTGGACTCAGTTCAATCAAGTGGAAGCAAATAAACAAACAGTATAAGCCACTGTCTTCTCTAATCCTCTTAAATCAATTTAGCCTTATATGTTGGACACGCTTCCCTTCCTACTTAATTCTGCATCAAATCGAGAGAGAGAGAGAGAGTGTGTGTGTGTGTGTTACGATTTAGTTCCACTTTGGATCTTCTTTGCATGCACTCGAGAGTTGCTGAAGATATGGGTAGTACAAGCGAGGCTTCTTTGGTGGTGGCAGAGAGCATGCATGAACGCGGTGGAAGCGCTCGAGGATGAACTACGTCCTCAGGTGTCTGCAGCAGCGTGGGAAGAACCACCGCCGAGGGGTCATCGTCTCAGGCCAAGCAGTCAGAGGAGACACTACGAACAGTCATGTAGTAAATTTAGCTGCTGGGGTCCCAATTAGAGCATCTTTTTCTCATCATCTGATGCCTCCTTTGCAAAATCATTCTCATTTCTTCTGAATTCTTGGAGGATGTTGATGCTGCCTTTTCATGGCATTCATGGATGAGCATCTCCGAGATGTTTTCTCTCCTTAACTCCACCAAAATGTGTGCCATTTCTCATCTCGTCTCTATATGGTTGATGGAACCGATAACTAAGATCAGCAAAGCCAACATTTATCGGGTCCTCCGCTCTATAGGATGATGGCCGCTCTGTGGTTTAAGCCACCGTGTTTCTCGGACATTTGCTCGAACAGATTTGCAACGTCAACAGCTACCCTTTGAGCGAGTCCTTGTGGTCTCCCCACCTTTTGCTCCCTCCCCTGCGACGCGGGCCTCCCTTATATAAAACACAGCTTCTGCCCCTCTTCACAAGGAGAAACAGGTGGTAGCTAAAAGACATGGCGACCATCGGATCCTTTCTCCTCCCTCTCTGTCTCGTCCTCGCCATCGCATCCTTCACCGGAAGCACCACCGCGTCGGTAATCCAGGAGGCATGCGGCCGCACGTCGTTCCCCGATCTGTGCGTCGAGTCCCTGTCCCAGAAGCCGGAGAGCCAAAGCACCGATGAGCATGGCCTGGCCGAGCTCGCCATCAGGGTGGCGGCGGAGTCGGCCACGGCCGCATCCACTTACGTCTCCAAGGGTCTGGAGGGGGCCGTCAACGATTCGTCATGGCACCAGTGCCTCGACGACTGCTCCGAGTCCTACGTGGACGCGGTGGAGCAGCTGGACGACTCCACGGGAGCGATGGAAGATAAAGGATACGCCAACGTCAACAAGTGGGTGAGCGCGGCTATCGCCGACGCACAGACGTGCTCGGAAGCGTGTGGGGACGTGGCTTTGCCGGATAAGGCTACCCTCACCGAGATGAATACGGAGTTTACGAATCTGTGCAATGTTGTATTGGGGCTTATCGAACCTCTGTCCAAGTGATCATCACACGATCACTCTAATACTCGTCTTATCCTCATAAAATAATTCCATTTTATTGATTTGTTTTCATGCTTTACATAAATTACTTTTGCTTCGCTTAAATAACTTTGAAGACGTTTCACTTGGTTCTTCGTAGTGCATTATATATATATATATAT